CCCAAGTGAGGAGGCTTCAATCCCACTTAAAAGGGGGAAGAAAATAATTACCAGAGTCAGAGGGAGGGAGAGTCCTGGATATGAGAGGGGAGGGAGAGATGAAAAGGGGAACAGGATCAGATATGGGGAGGACAAGAGAGAAGCCCAGAGGGCCAAGAGAATGAATGCAAATAAGCAGCCTTGGGTGCTAGGATGTGGAAGGACCTCTAGAAAGTACCAGAAAACTGGGATGTGAGAGACTGTCAGGACTCATTGGAGTGATTTACCAAAAATGCCCAACAATAGGGAGAGAGAACTCAAAGAGTCCACCTATAGTAGATATACAGGGCTTCAAGTAGAGGGACTAACTCACAGTCAAAATTTCTAACCCAGAATTGTTTCTGTGTAAAAGACCTGCAGGGACAAAAATGGAGAAGAAACTGAAGGAAAGGCAGTCCAATGGCAAGCCCAACTTGGGATCCATCTCATGGGGGTTGGGGGGCAGTCACCAAGGCCTGAAACTATTACTAATGCTATGGTGTGCTTATAGACAGGACCCTAGCACGGTTGCCCTCTGAGAGGCCCTACCAGCAGATGACTGAGACAGAAGCAGATACTTACATCCAATCATTGAATTGAAGTCAGGGACCCCTAAGGTTGAATTAGAGGAAGTATTGAAAGCTGAAAAAGACAACGATCCCATAGGAAGCCCAGCAGACCCAACTAACCCAGACCCCAGGGAGCTCCCAGACACTGATCCACCAACCAGGAGCACACATACATGAGCTGCTCTGAGGCCCCTGGCACATAGCCTCTGATATCAGAGGTCTGCCTGGTCTTGCCATCGTGGGAGAAGAAGATGTGCTTAATCCTGGTGGCAGGGACAGAACCCTCAGAGGAAAGGGGGAGGAAGAATGAGATGAGGAACTGGAATGGAATGATGAGAGGGGGAATTGAGAAGGGAGGGCAAAGACTAGAATGTAAATAAATAAAAATAACTTTTTAAAATAGTCTTATATGTTTTTAAGTTCTGTATGGAAGATTCAGTGCCATTTTTTTTTTTAATTTGATCTCTTCAACTGTGAAACCCTGAGGCAGCTTAGTGCTGACTAACTTTGTTTGTTTTGAGACAAGGCCTGTCTGTTTACTCCTATTTATCCTGGAACTCTTTATATAGAGCAGTAGAGCAGAGTGCCCTCAAACTTAGAGTTCTTCCTGCCTCAAACTCCCTAAATGCTGGGATTAAAGGTGTGCACCACTGCACCTGGCTTTGCCTGACTTCTTTCAGAGTACTTCTGTCTTGGTGGTCATTTCAACTGCAGATAATCAAGGTATTGACATAGTAATGTTTGCTGATACCTATTATTTGGCTGCTTACAGAAAGGACTAAGCTAGTTGCTTAAGAACAACTGACATGGCTGTCACTATATAAATACACTGAAATTATAAGTAAGAAAATACTTTTGCAAAGGAAGCATCAAGACATGTACAAAGAAGCTGGGCAAGGTGTGTACACCTATAATTACAGCTCAAGCAGTAAAATCATAGATTCAAGGCTTGCCTGCACTACAAAGCAAGTTAGTTCAACTCCAGTCGGAAAATTCTTGACTAAAAAAAAAAAACAAGGCTATAGATATGGCTCAGTGGTTAAGTGCTTCCTTACCATGTATGTACAAGGCTCTTAGTTCAATCAAAGTATCAATAGATAGATAGATAGATAGATAGATAGATAGATAGATAGATAGATAGATAGATGTATATGAAATCAGTTGAACAACATCTCCCTAAAGTGAGTTTTAGAAATTCTCTATAAATGATGTGATTTAGAAAAGAGCAGGTTCTAGTGTGATAAACTTAGGTTTATCTGACTGGTAGTACAACCCCTGGGCAAATTATTTATCCTGTGTTATCTGTTCTTTGCATTTAATATAGAAATAGCTAATAAAATATAAACATTCAATGAGAAATTACATATGTTTGAAACATGAGGCCTAGCTATTGGTGTACTCAATAAATATACATTTTAATTGCATCTTTCTGTCTTTTATTGTTGTTGTTTTTGTTTTAATTTTTTTCTTTTACTGGATATTTTCTTTATTTACATTTCAAATGTTATCCCCATTCCATATCTCCCCTCTAGAAACTCCTTATCCCATCTCCCATCCCCCTGCCTCTATGAGGGTGCTCCCCCACCCACCCACTCCAGCCTTCCTGCCCTGGCATTCCCCTACACTGGGGCATCGAGCCTTCACAGGACCAAGGGCCTTTCCTCCCATTGATGCCCCACAAAGTCAGCCTCTGCTACATATGCAGCTGGAGCCATGGGTCCCTCCATGTGTACTCTTTGGTTGGCGGTTTAGTCCCTGGGAGATCTGGGGAGGGGAGCCTGGTTGGCTGATATTGTTGTTCTTCCTATGGGGTTGCAAACCCCTTCAGCTCCTTCAGTCCTTTCTCTAACTCTTCCATTGGGTAATCTGTACTCAGTCCAATGGTTGGCTGAGAGCATCTGCCTCTGTATTGGTCAGGCTCTGGCAGAGCCTCTCAGGCTCCTGTCAGCAAGCACTTCTTGGCATCCACAATAGTGTCCCTTTCCATTCCCCTGACTTCCCTTCAAGACCAATCTAAAGAAATGCCATGATCATCCTGAGTGCTGCATAGCGAGGCCACTAGATGGAGCCATTCACTATAATTTCTCCTGCCCTGTCTTCTTTGATTCCTGTCTGCAGCTTCAAGGTTGATTCCTCCTCTGTTCTTCAGTCTTCCTAAAGGCCTATGGTGCCTGTGAAAGGGTCTGGAACTCTGCCTGTCTCCCATCTAGCATATTCGAAACTTGACTGAGCTCAGAAACATGGCTAATGGCATTGGACCTGAGCTCTAATACTATTGAGTAGTAACAGTTGGGCAACTTCTTCTCCATTCTTACTTTTCTCCATCTTTTGGATGTTTCTGATTCCACACTCGCCTTGCTCTATAGCTGTCATTGCAGTGAAATACTATTTGTGAGATTCTTTGGGATGACTCGTGGTTAAGAGTACATGCTGGGGCTGGAGAGATGGCTCAGTGGTTAAGAGCACTGACTGCACTTCCAGAGGTCCTGAGTTAAAATCCCAGCAACCACATGGTGGCTCACAACCATCTGTAATGAGATCTGATGCCCTCTTCTGGTGTGTCTGAAGACAGCTACAGTGTATTCATATATAATAAATAAATAAATCTTTAAAAAAAAAAGAGTACATTGCTGCTCTTGCAGAGGATCTCAGTTGGGTTTCCAGCACCCACTGTGAGTGGCTCACAACTACCTTTGACTCCAGGGGATATGCCATCTCCCTTCTGGCCTTGTGGGCACCTTTTTTCAGATTATTTTTAAATTTTGTTTATTTATTCACTTTATATCCCAATGTCAGCCACCCTCTCCTCCCAGTACCCCCTCACACATATTCTCCCCCAATTCCTCCTCCCTTCTCTTCTGAGAAGAGGACACCCCCCATAACACACACACACACACATCATACCCCTACACCCCACCCTGGCATATCAAGTTGCTGAAGGACTAGACACATCCTCTCCTGCTGGGGGGGGGCAGCCCAGTTAGGACAATGGAATCCACAGACAGGCAACGGATTAAAAGACAGTTCTCACTCCAGTTGTTTGGAGACCTGCATGAAGGCCAAGCTGCTCGTCTGCTACATATGTGCAGTTCAGGGACATAGGTCCACCCCGTGCTCCCTGTTTGGTTAATGGTTCAGTCTCTGGGAAGCCTCAAGGGTCCAGGTTAGTTGACCCTGTTGATATTCCTGTGGAGCAGCTCTGTGCTTTATGGGTCCCTCAATCCTTACAATTAAATCTTGAATCAAATAAAAAAAGAAGTCTAGAAGATTTTAGAACATGAAAAACCTACAGAATGAAATTCCCCACTCCTAGAGATTTTATAATATGAAAACTGGAATTAATATTCCATAAATGACTTAACTATTGCTACATTCATAAATCTCTTCAGTGACATCTCTTTTTTAAAAAAATGTATATTTCCCTTTGAATGAGTTCATTTTTTTATATTTTTTACACTAGGAAAAAAGTTGTTAACTCAGGATTAATAGGATAGAAAGAAAAAGAATCTGCAAAGGTTCCCATAAATGTATGAGCCTTGTTTGGTTATCTGCTTATTTTGTTTTATTGAGACAAGTTCTCAATATGTAGCTCTCCAGTGGCCTGGTATATGATATGTAGATTAAGATAACCTTAAATTCACCTACCTCTGCCTTTTCCATGCTGGGATTCAAGTTGGGTATTACATTACCCAGGACAAGCCATGTTTGATCATATTAAATGTTGTTTTAGTCTTGATCTTTCAAGTCATAATTGATTCCATTATCTACAATCTGCTTTGGAATATTAGATAGTTGCAACAATCGGATGTATGCACATTCATTAATAAAGGGTATTGTTTGGGGGCTAGAGTGATGGATGGCCCAGTAGTTAAGAATACTTACTGTTCATCCAGATGACCTGGTTTCATCCCTAGCCCCCACTTGGCAGCTCACAACAGTCTGTAACTCCTGTCCTAGGTGTCGAAACACCCTCTTCTAGCCTCTATGGGCACTGCATAGCCATGGTACACAGACATACTTGCAGGCAGCATATCCACACATAAAACATAATTTGAAAATTAAAAATAAATTTTAAAAGAGTGTACTATATACCAAGCTAGGTATGTGCTTCTCACAGGATATCAGAGTAGATGTGACAAAGATATATATGTGTATACATTAATTTATGTATATATACACACATCAATAAACTTACATAAATATTTATGACAATTTCCATTAGAGTTCTTTGGTCCATGAATCACTATAGCACCCTCTCCTTCCTTATCTGCAACCTCTTCGTTTAACATTAAAAACCCAGCTGACTTTTAACACTTATTCAGCAGTTTTAAGGTTATCAACTTGTACCCTAGTAAGAAAAAATGTTGCCACACAAAAGGACTGAATATTTTTTCTCTATTTATATTCCCTTTTAAATATTAGACTTTATCTGGGTTTATGGTACCCTAGAACACACCAGACTTGAAATAAAAGCATGGTCCAGAGGAAGCTGAGCCATCCTTGCTTAAAAGCCAGGGGTTCTATGTACAGTTTCCCTCTGCTAGGTCCTGGGTACTGTTTCCATGGTGATAAAAGCTGTGCCATGTCATTATCGATCCACCAACAGTAAGAGAAGCTTTGCAGTCAGGATAATGTTTAGCAGACAGCATGGTTTCTCTTGGACACTAAGTACTGCTACAAAACCTTGAGTTACCAAAAATATTGCAGGAAGTGAACTGCTAGAATCTGTAGAGTAAATGTCAAATCAGAAAACCCACCCAAGTGAGCAATGAAGTCTACTAAATCATCATTCAGTGGGAAACTTGGATGGCCCAGCTTACTCCTTTTCTAATGATGAGCCCCAAATGAAAATCTTTTTCTTTTGCCGAATAAATAAATATTCATTTAAACTATCTGTTCCTCGAACACTGTGGTTTCTCAACCTTCTTAATGTTTCGACCATTTAATATAGGTCTGCATATTATGGTGGCCCCCACCATGCACTTTTTTTCATTGCTACTTCATAACTGTAATTTTGATATTGTTATGAATGGTGGCAACCCACTTGGAGAATCGCTGCTCTAACACAACCCTTTGGGATTTGATGATCTACAAAGTCATATGCTATTTTAAATCAGCAGTACTTAAAGAATTAAATTCAGATAACTAACCATTATCCTGCAGTAGTTTTATAGCACTAGATTTTTGTTCATTCAGCCAATAACAAGTACTCTATGTCAGGAACTTGAACAGATCTCCCTGGAGAAAGACACTGCCATTTACATGATGAAAGGGATCTTCTATGATTTTTTTTTTGTTTGCTTTCTATACAGTGACTAAAATGTACAAGAAGGTAGGGATGGTACTGATCATCTGGTTAAATAGGAATTCAGTTCTGTAATTAAGCGTTCATCCCTCCTGGTGAAAAGATAGGAAAGTGAAAGTGAAACCATTGTAACAGATACCCTAAAAGTTCAGGGTACAGTACTACCCATGTTTACTCATACCATATAGATCTTAATAAGAACAAGTATGAAAGAGCCTTAGGTTGACTGCAATGACTTCGTTATACTCATTTGCCAGGGCTGCCACAACAAAATGTCAGGTGCTTAAGCAACAGAAGCTAATTTCCTGGAGACTTAAATCTAAGATCAAGGTGTCAGCAGCAGGTTCAATTTCTTCTGAGGCCTTACTCCTTGGCTTTCAAGTGAATACTTATTGTTGTCTCCAAGCAGACCTCTTTCTATACGTATGAGTCCCAGGAACCTCCCTGTATGTGCTAGTCTTCCCTTTTGATAAGTACACTATTCAGCTTGGAATTAGGGCTCACCCAGCAACCTCATTTTTAATTCAGTTTCTGATTTAAAGGCTACATCCAGTCCATTATAGTACCCCAAGCAAATGCTGTATCCTTAACAAATTTAAGGAACATAATGTTGCCATATTGGCCGGGGTGGCCCTGAACTCTACAGATCAAATGATTCTTCTGTCTTAGTCCCCCAGATTGCTGGCCCTCCAAGCATGCTTCACCACACTTGGCTTTAAAACAAAAATCTTAAAGTGATCAATCTGTAGTAACAATGGTAATGTGGAAAACTGTAAGTACAGCTACATGGTCTGTGGCTGCTTGCTTTGGCTCAATGTATATGTAATATATCTAAATGTGTATATGTAATATATCTAAATCAGAAAAAGATTGGGCAGATCGACTTTATTGAGTCAGAGTTTATGGGGAATTTAGACATATACAGATATTGCAATAAATGCCTCAAGCCCCCAAGTCATTCCCTCAAGTGCATTTTATAAAACCTTCGGGATTTTTTTAATTTACCACAAAATTTACCCAGTTAAAGTACACCAGTGCAGCTGTTCCTGCATATAATATGATCTGAGAATCTATTCCTCCTAACTTTAGAATAACTTTGTCATCATTACAAGAAGATACATTGTACCCATTAGCAGCCACTTTTCCTGTCTCCCATCCAACCAATAAATGGTTTGTCTCTATGGAGACTTGCTTAATGTGGACATTTTATGTAAGAAGGATAAAACAACATGTGTAGCCTTTGTGCTTAGTTTCTTTCATGCCATAGCATAGATTGGTACATAATTTTTTTAATTTTTAAATAATGATCTATTTCACATATAGTTTATATATTCATCATTTGGTAAGCAGTTATCTCCAGTCTTTGGCCTTTATGAATAATGTTCCTCTGATCATTTATGTAAACTTGTTTTGCGTGAACATTTATTTACATTTCTCCTAGATATGACCTAGGAGTAGAGTTGCTGGGTCATATATTATTTTTATTTTTTGAGAATCTATCAAGATGTTCTTCACAACTCTGACTTTTTTCATTTCTACCAGCTGTACAAAAAAATTACCTAAAATACCATTCAGAGATAGCCTGTACTATTTTAGAATTTTAAATTTTTATTTAGGCATATTTTTTATTTCACATTTATAGTTATTTTCTCCCACATATATGTCTATACATCACATGCATTCAGTGCCTGCAGAAGCCACAAGAGTGTTGGATCCCTTTGGAAATGGAATTACTACATGGATGTTAAGGATTGAACTGGAAACCTCTGGAAGAACAGTCAATGCTCTTAACTTGTGAGCCATCTCTCCAGCCCCTGTTTTAATATTTTTCAAGATTTGTTTGTGTGTGTGCACATACATACACACACATGGACATGTGCACATACACACACACACATGTGCACATACACACACACACACACACAGACACATACACACCAGTATTTTTAGGTACCTGCTGAATCCTGGAGATGTTAGATGGAGCTGGAGTTAAAGGCATTGATGAGCCATCCAACATGGGTGCCGAAAGCAGACTCCAGTCCTCTGGAAGGGCAGCAAACAAACTAACTGTTCCTTTTCTGCCCTACTTTTCTATATTTAACCTCATTTTGTACATTTGTATTTAAGAGCTTATATGATTTACAATATAAGTGGAATAATAACCATGCTACATATCAGTGGCATTTTGCACATATATTCATGGCTGTGATGGCTTGTATATGCTCAGCCCAGGGAGTGGCATTATTAGAAGGTGTGGCCCTGTTAGAGTAGGTGTGTCACTGTGGATGTAGGCTTTAAGACCCTCATCCTAGCTGCCTGGAAGCCAGTATTCTGCTAGCAGCCTTCAGAAGATCTAGAACTCTCAGCTCTGCCTGTACCATGCCTGTCTGGATGATAACAGACTGAACTTCTGAACCTGTAAGCCAGCCCCAATTAAATGCTGTTTTTATAACAGTTGCCTTGGTCATAGTATCTGTTCACAGCAGTAAAACTCAAACTAAGACAATGGCATATAAATATTCTATCTTATATGTACAATTTAGACAATCTTCTAACATTCAATATCTGCCTATCTATATCATGATAAAAATGGAAAACAGAAATAATGTATCTTTTAGGATTTATAACTGATGATTTTGTGTAGATCTTTAAAATAGACATGTCAAGCAGAAACCCTTAAGGAAAAGTAGTGATCCTAGATTATATAAATCTCCTGCATAGGAATTTCGATCCCTGGTTTGAAGTCCTGGTTCTTAAGTGATGACATTTAAAATCTTTTAATGCATATTATTCATTACTAGGAAAGACCAATAGCAATAATTTGAAATTGCTAGAGCAAAATGCCTTAGATGCTCATCATCCCTGATTAGGGGAATGGGAAGGAAGGCAGGACCCCTGTAGGGATGCTGGTTCAAACCAAATAGCCTGAAGAGATTTCAAATTAAATTTTGACTGAATCATGAAATTAACCTTGGATATTTTTAAAACAAAAAAATTATTTAGCAAAATAGTCTAACCTAGAACTGAACCTTTTCTCTAAACATTTAAACATCAGTAAGAGTAAGACACTATTAAAAGGATGTGTATCCAAGCGCATCTCAGCTACTCAGGAAACTGAGGCAGGGACCATAAGTTTGAGGCCAGCTTGTACATTGTGCCAAGATGCTGTCCCAAGGGAAAAACAAAACAAATCACTTGGGCAAAGAAGACTTAAGTAGAACTTAATCTTGGTTAAGTCAGAATCCTTAATCAGAACACTCTTCCTTGGGGTAAATTTTAGGTGCCAAGAAACAAAGGGTGTGGTTACTTGGTCCTGATGATGTTCTAAGTATGGCAAGATCAGAAACAATAAATTCTGAAGTCCCAGATGGGGAGCAGAGTGGATGCAAACAGACTGCAAAAGTAGCAGCAACTTAGACATAATCTGGCAGCAGTCAGTGTAGAAAGTTCTGGAAAGCCTTCAAAACCACTGGGTATAAGTTGAAAGGGATGAAGAAGAGAACTATCCCACATGATTGCTGATTTTTCTAGATGGATTTTGCCCAAGAAAAGTATCTGAAAGTTAATCATAAGTCTTTAGAAGTATGGAGCACTCAACAAATGTCCAAGCCTAATATAATCTACAATAGTATGTATGGCAATAAAAAAAAGGTTAGAAAAATTGACTTCATTGGCTTCTATTTTTACCTTGTTATGGACATTCACTAAATCAAAAGAATAAACCATTGAGAGATGGGTTCAGTCCAGCAACCATTCATACCTCTTCTTTGGGAAAATGATTTGTTTTAAGCTTATAAATATAAGCAATGACATGAAAGCATTTCAGTTTTATACATTATTATTTGTAAAATAACAGGATATTTTGCTTTTCCTTTTTCAAGTTCCTCTCAGTCTAATGAGAATTTTTCAAGTGATGCTCTGTTTGCAACAGGCTCTCTAGAATCATGGTGAGCGAGGGCTTGTTAGATTCCTGGAGCATATTGAATCACAATCTCTGTGAGAAGGGAGGTAGGGATCTGTTTTCAACAACTTTCTAGGGAATTATTTCACACCCTCAAATTGAAGAATCTGTAAACTAGGAATAGAATTTCAAGCAGCTAACTCATTAGCATAAAAACCAAGAGACAAACAAGTAAAGGTATAGATGGCCCAAGGCCTACACAGTCCTTCAGCTACTCAATACTGCATTTACTAGTGGGCTCTCAGACAAGCAAACAAACAAACAAACAAACCAAAAACAACCAGACTAGTTTCATTTGCCAGTTTACACAGTGTAAATATTCCCATCATGTCCAATTTCAAGCAAACAATGCTTAGCATGGTGTACACACTGTTTTTATGATATTTTGACCAAATAGATACAGTCAATGTAAATAA